TCCTTCACCGTCACGTGTGTATTGTATTCCTGCCCAACTAACCAATAGCAATGTTTTAGGAAAGTCACCTATCCGTGACTCGAACAATAGGGAAACTGGAAATTGCTATTGGTGGATTTGGTAAAAATATAATACACACGTGACGGTGAAAGACCAGATTTATGAATAAACATTGACTAACATAGATAATGAGTTATATTGTTATTCTAATGAGTTTCACAGCCATCTTCCCTTCGATAGGCTATGCACAAATACACTAGCTTGTTCAAAAGCTACTCTTGGTAAAAAGCTTTTCAAAAGTTGATTACTTCAGAAATTCACCTTTTTGTTGTACTATTTAAAACACGAGCAAGAGTGCTTTATCAGATATAAACGACCCATCTGATGAGTTCATTCGCGAAGTAAATTTAAAAATAAACGAGTGCTTTATCAGATATAAACGACCCATCTGATGAGTTCATTGGCGAAGTAATTTTAAAAATAAACGTTGTCTAAACCGAGAAAATCAAAGCTGAAGTTTATGTAAATGAACATGATTTTTTATCACATGTATAAAACCACAGACACGGCAGTTATTTCCTCTGTCTTTTCCTCATGAATTATTAATGAGTTTTTAAAATTATTTTAATGCCCGAGTGCCATACTGGACAGTGAACACATGCCCATGGGTGCGTAAATACAATTGAATCGAATTTTAAAGGTTTTGGTTTCGTTGAACTTTAATGGACGACTTGCGCTTTAGAAAAATTTTTAATCTGGGAATAACAAAGGATATTTTCGGAAAGAAGTTATCAAAATTAGAAAAACTGCAAAACTTGGTTGCGAAATGTTGTAAAATACGGAAAATATAGCCCTACGAAGTTGGCGAATTTGTATACATTTCTATTACGTGCGGAAATTGGTAACTAATTTAGTTACCAATTCACGCACGTAATACAAAAGTATACAAATTTGCCAACTTTGAAGGGCTATATTTTCCGTATATTACAACATTTCGCAACCAAACTTTGTAATATTACTAATTCCAAGATGCTCTTTCTAGCTGTGGTGATATATTTCGTTCTTCTTACTTAGATTAAAATTTAGTCTAAAGCGCAAGTAGTCCATTATGTGCTGATTAATTTAACGCAGCGCGTAAGTAAAAACTCTGTGGTCAGTTGAACTATTTTTATTCGAACTGACGATATGACTAATTTGTAATTTGACAGCTCGGAGTAGAGAAAAAATATGGCCTGCCAGTCTAAATTTTTTGGCAGGTGAAATAAATTTTAGCCTGCCATTTTTATTCATGGTGTCTCATACGAGTCATAGTGCAAAAATCAATGTTTTCATGAAATGCATTTTTATTTTTAAACTTATCTATTTTACTAACAGCAAACTTGGATTTACATTTCAAATATAACCTTATTTAGTCCACTAAATGATCTAGTATATATGAGTTGTAGTATAAAGCATATGAAATGAAATATATCCATAGAATTTCACCTGCCATTTTTTTTACTTTGCAGTTGAAATTCAGTTGTTTTTGCCTCCCATTTCTAAAATATGGCCTGCTTTTGGCCATTGGCAGCCCACTATTTCGAGCCCTGAATTTGACCATTTTTGTGTAGTTATTCTCCTTTGTGCTATTGGAAGCTATTTTAAATTCCCAGGAGCAGAAAATCTTGTGTTTAACAAGGATATTTTAAACATATACCCTGTCAATATTTTACCCATCTGTGGGTAAAGTATTGTTCTTTATTGAAAGTTGAACTGTTTGGTTCAAAATAACTCTACTAGGAGTTAAATTAACTCCCTCAAATTGACAGGGTTAAGTTCGTTCGTAGCGTCGATTGGGGCATCAAAATATTAAATACAGGGATCATGAAGGGGGCGAATGAGTTCTGGCATTTGCCTTTTTTTTTCGACGGGGAAAATAAGATTTGGACCACCGGGATTTATTTGTCCGGGAATGGATTTCAAGCAATTCTACGGCTGGGAATGCGATTTGCGAAAAGACGTCGTCTGGTCACCCCGAATCAGATAAATTTTGAGCTGGGAGAATAGAATAGAAGCTCCCCCTTCGCGATATCCTCAAAATTAGCATTCTGCGTAAAATTAGCATTTCTCACGCTAGGTTTATCCGCTCCACTTTTGGGGCACTGCCACTCCCAAGCCTGAGAGTGTGACTTTTTTATACTTTTGTATTCGAGCCAAAACATACATTGTCATTAATACTAAACTTTTAAAAGCGCTTATCTTTCTTTTAACCAACCCTGAAATTCCCTGAAGTAGCAATAGTAAGTCAATTAATTCACATAAAACACCCCAAACGATTTGAACGTTTTACACTCTGTTGGTCACGAGTTGTGAAAATGATGTAGATAATGTAGCTGTTTGAACGCTACGGCGTACTAGAACGTTTAAGGAATGCAAATTATAGTCCCCTTTGTCTTAGAGTAAAGATGCTATTGATGAGCACTCTAATGGTAAATTTACGGTTACAACTTTGAAAAGTCACTTTTCGCATGAGAGAAGATTATAATACCCCCAAAATGGCAGATATTTATAGGCCGCAACATGTAGCATCATGTTTCTCTAGTCAATTTAAAAGTTCTCACTCTATACTGAATATCAGAAATGAAATGACCAGATGTACAAAAAATTTGCAGGCTATATATTTTGGCTATCTTTTCTAAAACAGTATACTTTTGGTATACACTATTTTATTGTTAAGTTTAAAAACTCATTAATAATTCATGCTAGACAACGTTAATTTTTAAAATTACTTCGCCAAGTGAACTCATATTAAGAGGTGTCGTTTTTTAAGCCATTTAAAACACTCGCTGTTCGTGTTTGATCAGATATAAGACACTCGGCTGTCGCCTCGTAAGTTTCGAAATAAAGTCTCTAAATGTTTTGTATTTATAACTTTGACCTGCTTTATTCATGTCTGAATTATTTTTAGAGCGAATGGTATAATATCAAAGTTTAATCGACTCAAAAGCGTGATTAAAGTCTATATATTGTATTAATCAATCATCATTACTATTTTATGTATATATATAGCAACAATAGATACGTCTAGTGGGAATTATGCCTCAGGATTGCCTGCTTTAACCGGTTATCAAAGCAAATGTACTGTTAATGCCAATAATGGGCTGTTGACCCATTGAACTCGTGAGATTTTTGTGAATTTTTAACATAAGGAAATTTCACACGACTTTTCTATGATTGCATCATGAAAAAATTCAAAACGACCAAATACGATACTTTGGCAAACTATCTTTAATTCTTGAGATATTTGACAATGTTCGATAAATATCCTCATTATGACGTCACATTGCAGAATGACTTTCTTGACGGGAAAAAGTAGGGACATTTCGAACTATTTTCACAGCAAAGATTTTGAACTGAAAAAAAATCCAATGTCCAAAGACCAGTATTCGGCAGCACAGAAAACCGAGCTCAGCCTGACAAACAGTTTGCCGATGGTGGTTTAATACATGCAGGGAAGCGATAAATATATTTTTCTTTTTAAAAAAATTCTCTAAAACGGACACCTGCATCAGTCTAATACGGATGCTTCGCAGTGAGTGTGTCCTCATGAAAAAACAACATTAAATTTCAAACACTGCTTTTCGGTAATGTAAAAAGATGATTTTAAAAAATGAGGTAATTTGGACTCTTACACCTTAGCGAGGGCCAACCTGTGTGAGCCTTGCACAATCACATGTTGTTTGGTAACAAATTTAAAAAAATATTGAAAATTTTTAATATGTTGATCCAATTTTCAAAGCTAGACTATAATACGTTGATCGTCCTAATTTCAATTCCGAAAATTTCACGTTTCTTGCGGGTTAAGTTTTAAAATTTAAATGTGCTAATCTTCCTTATGTCGACGCATTTTATTCCAGTATGTGGTTGCAATAACCACTTGGGAAAAAACGCGTTTTATTTATATGGGAAAAAAAAAATTCGAATCCGTAAGCCAAGATTTTAACCGCTTAAGTATTTCAGTCCCCGTTAAAAAAATCGATGCATGATCGTATAGACTTTATATCATAGTAATCAAGTCTTAATTACAATGATTATCATCGCGTGCGGCGCGCGTGCGCAAAATTAGAATATATTCCGTGGGTGAATTTGTGATGTTCTACAGGTACCCCTCAAAAGTCGCAATAGCTACGCAGATTTAAACTTTAATCAGTAAGAGATGACTTTTGACACTAGTATCAGTATTAAAGTTGGTCTCGCAGAACCAATTCTATAATTCTATGGTTGTTTTAAGTCTGGTTTACCCAATGGATTAATAAGTATTAATAAGTTTGATGACCCTTGCTCTTAATTAAACAGCCTTATCATTAGTCTATACTAGATCGATTTTAATACTGACATTAATTAGTATCAAAATTCATCTCTCAGATTAAATTTTCGATGCCTCGACTAAGAAATATAGCTGTGTAAAATCCTGGGACATATTGCTATTAGAGTTTTGGTGGACACCCTTATATGCATATATCGCACGTGTAAATGTAACATTTTAAATTTAAATCTAAGTGTTGACCTATTTAAGAATATCCAAGCCCCCATACTTCGCTACACATGCACTGGCGCACATAATTCACAAGTGGCCGGCAGGACAGTTTGAGTTTAGTTCGTTCATGTCAATTAAATTTGACCCCGAATTTGCCTTGTACAAGTGTATCGCATTTGATTCCGCATCAACACACAGGCCGGGTTTTCACGTTCCGAACTAAATCATGACTACTTCCCTTTTCCAAATGCAATTTTTTCGAATATTTGCAAAACGAAATTTAACATTTCGACACGACTTCGCTGAGTTGATTTGCGCTATGTAAAAAGTGTGAATCCACTGACATGAAACTGATTGAACTATTAAATGATTAATAGTTTCCGCATACACAAGTACACGATCCTATACACTTTATATACTTGTAATGATGAATTGATGACAGAAAATAAATAATGGTCTTATCAATAGTCACACAAGATCTTACCTTTGGGTTGCATAGGCTGGTCATCATTATTTGGTCTGGATCTGTACTTTTGTCTTGATCTAGTCTTGAATTGCGCGAAGTGTCTTGAAAGTGTTCACAAGTGTTCTTCGGCTAATTCATAGATGTCGTGACAATTTATATCACTGAGGAGGGCGTGAATATAATTATAATTCCCTTGCACGCCGAGTAGCCTGTAATGACCTAAGGGCTATGTTCACATTAAATTAGGCGCACCGTGTGAAGCTTGTCGTCTTTTACACCCCGCCCAGCTCAGATCTCCACATGCCCGTGAATGACTGAATACTGTGACTGTGGCTTGGAATATTTCTTTCTTAATGCGTCCTATTTCCTCCCAGACAAAAGCGACACTGAGCTGGTTAGGAAATCATGACATAACATCCCTTATATATGACGGCATTCTGTGTGATGATGCTTGAACTAATAGCATGAGTTTCCTAAGCCACAAATCTGTAAGAATAACAATTCTTTAAAAGGGCATGGTTTTTGGAACGTACTTCATACCTCTGATCTTAAGGCTATAGTTTATACTATCAAAGTTTCTCTGATCACAGTAGGAATTATGCATGTATGTAAATTCTAAGTTTTTGAAGCATTTGCAAGAAATGTTTGAGGGAACTTACTCAGTGTTTAACAAATCCTTCAAGACTTAGAATGTATCTATGTAAAATTTCTACTGTGATTACACTAGAAACTTTGATGGTGTTACCCAGCCTGTATACAACACCACGAGATTGCTATGCGGTCCGTGATTATACCAACTCTGCTTATAATGCATAATCATAATGTGTGATTTAAAAAAAAAATACTACTTTGCTAACTATTGGAAAGAGCAGATTCAACAAGGTGGAAATATAACTTGCCTTCATTAATGAAAAATTCAAAATGAATTTTGATTTGGGAAAAGATGTTTCTGAAATTAGTCATGTTTAAACATCGTCAAGATGTTACATGGGATGAAAGAATATATAACATTTTCATTGCGATTCAAATTAGGTCGGACAGCACTATTTAATACATTGCAAGAATGCAAGGTTTACTGAATACTTCACAGTGACGTTTTACCAAATAAATCACTCGCTTCGTTCTGTCAATAATCAAGACTTGTTTATATATGTGCATTTTTGAATTGAAAGACAAATCTATAAAGGCATTACTAGCTACAGTCATTTTCAAATGTGTTGTGACAGATGCCCCAACTACCTATTATTTTGACAAAATTCGACCCCTTCCACCCCCCATCCCCCCCCCCCGTCCCTTTCAATATTGGGTCTCAGTTAGTATCTTTCTTTGGTATGTGATCGGGTAAACAACATTGAATGTGGGAGGGGGAGGGAGTGATAAATGTTTGTAATAATTTGCATATATCTGCACTGACGTTCTATAACCACAGGTGTTCGAACAAACTTTTGAAAATGATTGTATTAAGTACTGTTTTAACACATTTTTATCGATTGAAAAACGTAACCGATTCACAATTCAGCCGATAACAATTATTAGTAATTTTGTTTGAATGTATGCAACACGAACGAGGAATGCTGAATTTAGCTTTAAACTGTTTGTTATTCGTTTTAAAAACTTGATAAAGTCGTTAGACATGACTGGTATTTTGTGAAAAAAAACCCAACTCACTGGACATTGATTCCTTGGATAATCTTCACCAATTTTTATTTGTTATTTCATTAATAATTCATGAAGAAAACACAAATGTAATCATGACCGTTGAGGAGCTTGTATAGAATCTGATACAAAATCCTGCTGAGTTTACATAAATTTTAAGTTCATTTTTTTCACTAAATTGTCCAAATATCATTCACATGTCTTCAAGATTATTGAGGAATAACAAAATTTTCATCAACTCAGATTCCCTGCACGCAAATCGGATACTGACATAGCTGGTTTGTAATAATATTTAATCAAAGTTAATACAAATATTAGTACATATAAAGTCATGCATGTACAAAAATTCAACATATTTTGCTATACCACTATAAGGTGGACCAGAATGCATTGCAATTGGCCTTTCTCACGAAGGCCAAATTCGTCATTTTTGGGGTACTATTTTGAAAACGACGTGAAAAATCTAAGCGATGTGAAAACATTTTTTTCAAATATTTAACTGTAAATTAACTTATAATGATTATACTCACAATTATAGTTATACAAATCCCTTATTCACTGCGTACAATATCAGATTTGGAAAGGGCCCCAAAAATGGCGGCATGAGAAAGGCTAAATCAAAATTTGTTAATACATCAATGATGGTTTTTGATGTGAATTTGTACATTTGTTATTTGTCGTTGGGAGAGAACTTTTGGCAGACCGCTTTTTGTAAAATTATGTGACATTGTGAAAGCATTAATAATTCATTAATGATAATTGAAAAGAAATCAATTTTAATTAGGTGTTACATCCACATATACAAAATTATCCTGATATGCATAAATTAATTCCCCCCCCATTTTCTCGGTTAAAATCAGTTCTTTTTTAATAATTTCTTAAAACACAGTTGTTGAAATCCTTAAAACAAACATAGTTAAAAAAACTTCATGTACTTCTTCGAAATTGCATTTATCACATGACTGAATTGTTCCTTTTAATGATGATGTTCGCTTCCGGTGTTTTCTCAAAACTGCTGCCAAAGTCCTAATTAATTCATTTATAAACGCTATTTTTACATGTGATTGTCAAGCGCTTACTTAAGTTAGTTCACACGAAAACGGACAAAATTAAAACCGGCTTAATCTTTCAGTCATGCGCGCGCGGAATTATGCGCCAAGTCAAATGATGGAAGTTAAAAAAAATGGGTAGGAAACGAACTAAGGTCACCAAATTGCTGGCGTCAGCAGACCGACCGACTTAAAATTTGTAGTGTCACGAATAACTGGGCATGTGGTAAATCTTTGCTCCGATTTTCATATTTTCCGCTGCATTCAAGACGCTTATATTGAGATTCAAAATGGTTTCATTGTCTTTTAAAGCTGCGTTTACGCGCTGCGATTTGTCGTGTACGATTCATATTATGGCGTATGAAATTTAATTACTGCTGACGCCACAATTCCTCTTCATTCTGATTGTTGCAAAATTTGAATTGCAACCACTTTATGCGAGATATACGAAGTAAGATCGAAAGATATATTTAATATCTTACACTGGGAACCAATTGAAACCACTCTTAAGAAGAGAGAAATGATAATGACATTTAAGGCCTTACAAGGCCAACTGCCAAAATGTATGACCAACATCTTTAAAATTTGCCTAAATGATATGTATCCGTCAAAAAGTAATAACTGTAAACTTTATTTGGAAAAACTTAAAACAGACTTCTTGAAGAAATCGTTTTCATATCGAGGTGCTGCATCATGGAACAATCTTCCAAATGATGTTACCAACAACTTTAAAGAGCTTTCCATAAGTAACTTCAAAACTTTAACAACTCTTTCACCAATTTGGAGAGGAATAGTGTGTGATTCGAAGGAGTAATTTTTGGGTCTGGGAGGGTTAACATAACATACTATTTCTAGTTATATATGTGATTCATTCTAAATTATATATAGTGGAAAGCAGTTTAAACTGAAGGGCTACCGTTTTTAAATAAGATGAATAATAATAATTCGATTATATACGCTAGAATAGGAATCGTACACGACAAATCGCAGCGTGTAAACGTAGCTTAAACCTTTCTGTACCATGCACGACAGTATTCCAGGTAAATTAATGTTGATCGACTTGGTAGTCAGGAAATTGACGTTGCAAAAGCTACCGATTTCGGATTAAAAGTTGTGACGCATATCTCCCCCCGCCTGCTCGAAACGTTCCCTAAAATGGCTAACAACTATTCAGGTATATTATCGTAGAGTGCTTATATATTTGTAAGTATTTTTACTGGAATGTTAAGCTGTATTATTGCTGAACTTGTATGATTATTTTGGGTTTGGCAATGTCATCATTTTCAACAAGGTTGAGACGCCATCAGCACGCTGAGAACATCATACGTGATCCAGTGTTCTTATTAACCTTGAAAAAAAAACGCATCAGTAATTCATGAGCCGAAAAGGCGGACAAAGGAAATCATTTTAATTCACATAATCTTTAGCTTTGATTTTCTCGGCTTAGATAACGTTATTTATTAAAATTACTTCGCCAATGGACTCGCAAGATGGGTTGTTTTTTAAGCCATTTAAAACACTCGCTGTGCGTGCTTTATCAGATATAGAACACTCTGCTGTCGTCTCGTGTTTTATATCTGATAATTAAGCAGTTCAGCTCGTGTTTTAAATTGTACATGGTAGCTAAAATCGTTTCATAGTGAAATAATAATAATAATAATAAAATTTTATTTCAAAAAGGGCGAGATTATTACCTAAGCGGTGCATGTTCTTAATAGAAAAAAATCATTTATTTAAGGCCATGTTACACGGTGCAATTTTTCTTGCAACTTGCAATGCAATTCTACTCTTGAGAGATGTTAATGAGTGAAATCAGTGAAGAATTTTCGATATGTTGAGAAAACATCAGCGGAGTGTAATGAAGACTCGTATTGGCAATTTTACATCTCTCAAGAGTACAATTGCATTGCAAGTTGCAAGAAAAATTGCACCGTGTAACATGGCCTTTAGTTTTGTTTTAAATAAACCGAGTGAGAGATCATCAATGAAGAAGTGAAGAGCATTGCAGCTCTAGACTTAGCTATAACTCTGTTTTGGTCACCGGAAGCCTAAGGCCGATTTTCACTACACAAATTTTGCCTAAAACTGTCGCATGCAAGCTGCTAATTTTTAGTTGCACTGCCTAAATCAAGGAAGAGGTTATTTCGCTGGCCTCAGAGTGCCAAAACGTAACAAAGCAACGGTTTTACTAACAATAACCCTATTCCAAACGCCAACTCTAACCATAATCCTTGCCCTAACTCTAACCTAACCCTACTCAAAGTTTGTTTCTAAACTTATCTTGAAGAAAAATGTTTTGACGAAATGTCATTCTGGGGTCAGCGAAATAACTTCTCCCCTAAATCAAGCACACGACTCACCTACTACAACGTGGGGGAGTTGTATGCTTGATTTACACAGTACAACTCAAGTTGTAAGCAGGTTGCATGCGACAGTTTTATTAGGTAAAAGTTAAATACCAGCAGAATTTTTCTTATTTTTATTATATTATAAAAGGTATCCATTTCAATTGACGAAATAATTCCATATAGAAGGGGCATCTTTTTTTATGAAATCGAGCAACGGTGACAGGTCAAAACACCAATCATACTTGGGTAGAATGAATCTGTCTGCTAATAACTTTGAAATAAAGCCAAAAACTTGTGTATTTTTATCTATTATTGTTTGGAATTTGCTACTTTTTATATCGTAAAATATTCGAAGCTCGTCCAATTCATATGACAGTGAAGCGTTAATGTTTTTACTAGGTTCCTAGGACCCTATTTGGTCAATATTTTCTGCTCTAAAATATTGTTGTTGATTCTGTTAGTACATGTGGGCGAAATTGGTATAAAATATTTGAAGTGCTGATAATCCTATTGGAGTGATAATTGCTAAATTAGCCGTGAATTAATTGCGCGTCAGGTCACATAATAGCGCAAAGTGCTTCGCCCTTTAACCTTCATTATACTTTAGACTGCCCTATCTTTAATTTGAAAGCGATATTTAACTTCTTATCTTGCACGCGAATAATGCTTTCTCGAAGAGTGCGCTTTGAAAATCGAATGCGCATCTGCGTGAATTGAATGTAGTTGTTTGCGCACAAAATAATTTGTGTCCACATGGCTGTACGATTTCACAGCTAAACCGTACAAATTTCTGTGTGGACAAATTGATTCCGAATTGCAGATTTCGAAACTTTAGATTCTATTTTCTCGGCTAAAACAAGCATCGTCAAAATTATGGTAATTAATTAAACGTCATTATTGGTAAAACTCATTAATAATTCAATGTTTAATGATTTGATATTCTATATCCACATATTCAAAATTCTCACCTGATTTCCATGTAATCTTTTCCCTCGATTTTTTCAGTGTTTTTTAAAAAATTGCTTCAAAACACGACTGTTTAAGGTGGTTCGATAGAAAAAATCATGTATTTTCGATAGCTTATTTCACCATGAAAGAACATGGAATGAAACTATTTGAATTCGGCAGAATTAGCATACTTAGTACATTAACCAAAAAAGGTTTGGTGCATATTGGGTAAATTGTAAAAACAATTTCGGACTGGCCGTAGAAATGAGAAATTTGGAAAATAATCCCCATGCATATATATTTTGTGTCAATAACTAGGTTGACTCTATAGACCCATTGCACATGACGTCACAGCGCCGGTGACGATGCATCTGGAGGACAGATTAGCAACCTATGCATAATATAACTTTTGTAAACAAGGGAAATTTTGTAAAAGTTTATAATAATTTTGTATTAAAATAGTTAATTTCTGCGCTGTATGTGGCCGTTGTTGTACCCGAACAGATATTGTTAGGAAGCATCTGGAGGACACTCTAAGGATTTGTGACGTCAGTGCAATGAGTCTATAGCCGATCATAGCGCTCAAAATGCTTCAGCTTTATATTGTCACTTACAGAATTGTTACATACAACCTTACAAGACTGATATGTCTTATTGCAACTTGTTACCGGCAACCTTGCATGTCGCAGCGTGACGAGAAATGTTTCGAATAGTTTAATGCCAGACTTGTAACCATTGCGAATATACATCTTGTTAAAATGGGTCGCGTGCAGGAATCCTTTTCCGGAATGCTGCGTAAACAAGTAAGACCGAAAAATTATCCAAAAAAATATGTCTGGCTTTCTAAACAAACCAGATTTATTAATTAGCAGCAAACATTTTTGTGAATTGGATTACGGCTAAATAGTTTTATTCTAGATGACGTTATCACTTATGTCCCTAAACTGTTCTCCCTGGAGGTCCAGTAAGAGCAATCCGTTATTGGTTCGGTATTCCTACAGGAGGAAACCTCAACTAAACTAACTTATTTGTACCGGATAGCGGCTGTCTCTTCTAAGGCTGTTTTCACTCTTTGTCCAATTTCCATGAGACCGATTTAGGATTGAACCCGGCTCTCCCAGCTTTGAAAGGCAAGCGTGGTGACCATGTACCACATGTGCTGGCCGGTGTCCACACTTGTACAAAACATATTTCACTGCAAAAAAAAATTTGAAAACTTGATTAAAATAATGCACTCACAACGACTCAAAACTAATGATCACTAGTACTTGTGAACGGTTTATAAACTATAGAGGTCCAATATAAGAGCTGTCCGTAATTGGTGTGCTACTGTAAAATCCACGTTCCCGTTACTAGTAGGAAAACTTGCTGAACTTCAAAAGTCGCTTTCTCTTTGGCGTATCATCTAAAGTCTTTATCAGTTTAGCATAATTTTATACATAAAAGCTTTTTTTTTCAGTTTATATTGAGATCAGTTGTTGGCTTCTCACTCAATTCAACAATAGTTGTTGAATGATCTTGTAGATGGAAATTATCGAGTGGAAATTTAATTTAATACATTTATGTTCGACGTAACCATTAACAGCTGCGAAAAATTCAACTATAGGTCTCTGGCAGGAATCGAAGCTGCGGCCCTGCCATTCCGATGCAGCGCCCTAACCAACTGAGCTACAGAGGCCAGTTGTCGAGCTCTAACCACAACTAAGTTCATGTATGTATAGATAGGTTACTGTCATTAATTTAGGTTATGGGTAAATATCGAGATTTTGTTCACATCTCACTCGATTCAATAGTTGAAGGGTCTTGTAGATGGAAATTATCGAATAGAAATTTATACACATAGGTTTTTAAGTCAAAATTTTGCAAATTTTTGGTCGGACATTTTGTCCAGACATTGTGAAATAGCAATCAGATTTCTTGAAAGAATGGGTTAATTTCGGGTAGTTGCATTCCTCCCAATCCTAAGTTTTCTTATTATTTGGCCTACCTCAGATTAATTCAGATTAATTTGCTCAATGCATGGTCAGATCCGAAATAATATCAGGGGAAAAAAGTTTGAAAATTTCAGATCAAATTTCATATTTTTTCCAGACAAATTTTCAACGTTATTTTAGGCTCTGTAGCAGTTTATTGTAACAAATTAGCATGTCGCTGATAAGTTTTGTCCATACAGCGTTACGTAATGCTAGAAAATTCTCCCTTGAAGCCTTGATGGCTTGACTTGGACATTTCGCTGAATTTGAACTTCGTGTGAGAGGTAACCAATGCTCCTGTTTTTTTTTACGCCCAACTGAAATATAATTAGGTTTCCGCCGCGAATTGGCTGGGGAGCACTACGATAGCTTTTAGTTTGTTTGTTTAAACGGAAATTATGCAAAGTATTGGTTTTTCATTAGCGCACTTGTTTGTTTAGTCGCAATTAACATGTTTATAAATATTATTTTAAATAAATATTGACACATGAATGTGTTAGATTCAAGTATATGTCTATTAATGGAAGTTGAAAGCAACCACAAACTGCTCTTTGATTCTAGCCCCATAGATAGCGATGGTAAACAACTTGGCCATTTCATCTCCGTGTTTTTCAGATGCTTCGCGATCTATACTTTAAAAAACACTAAACCAAACGTGGCAAATCCTTCTTAATTATAATAAGCTTAACGTTAATTGCTTAACTTTTGAAGCCATTTGTAAATATGATGATATTTTATAAGAGACAATTCTTTTCAACGTCGTGTATTTGCGATGAAATTCAAAACCTAAAATCGTTTCGGCGTTCCTCTCAAAATTACCTTGTTTTAGCTTGATTATGTAGTTTACAAATGGCTACCTTTTTAAATGTATCTGGCGGTTGAGAAACACAAAATAATACTTTAACATATTGTCTATTTAAATACAATTATCACTGATGCTGTAGAGTTGACGCCACCTATTTATACAGCAATATAAGCAAAACTTGCCGGACTTCAGGCATCATTTTCTCTTTGGCGTACCGTCTAAAATCTCTTCATTTTAGCATAATTTTAAAGATAAAACACTGCACATACTTTTTAGATAAGTTTGCCGCTTGTGAAACGTATAAAAAATTAACAAACAGTTTGAGTCATAACCAAGTGGAAAAGTATATTTATTAGTTTTGAGCGCGTGTTACGATCATAGATATATCTTATATAGACCAGATAGCGCATCTCTTCTAGTAAAATTGAAGCCAAGAATATTCCAGCGGTTACCCCCATTTGAATAGATGGCGGCCATATTGGTCGTTCCCACTTGCTAATAAACGCTTAAAAAACAACAATAACTTTCATCATTTCAATAGTTTAAAAATGTATTTGGAATAGGTTTACCTTAATATTTAAGTTCCCTGTTTAAGAAATAGAAAACATAGGAGTCTTCCCATTTCATGGGAATATCCTGAGTCTGCAATCACGGCTTTAATTTTTGAATTGTAGAATAATTAGATGCACTATCTAGTGTATATAAAATATCTATGGTTACGATTCTCCCCTTCATCAACAATGTGAATATACCATACATACTTCAAAATAAATTGTTCAAATATTTTAGTAAGGTGGTCTCTGAATAGCAGGTCACTGTTTGCCCGAAAGGTAAGCATATGACTGCTAGCTTTTGCCAGTAAAACTGCGCTATTTAAGACATCGCTTTAAACTTTAAATTAAGGCATTACATTTATACACACGTCCTTTGTGGAAATCAACTGTCGTTGACGGGGCTAGCGTGTTAAAATAAATAATTATACCTCTTTATCTGCCTATCTATTTAATATGGAGCGCGCGATTTAAAATCGCGCAAATTCAGGACTGAGCAAAAATGTATACTACTACACGAATGTTAATGAGTAATGTCGAGAGAATTGCTTCTTAAATTATGCGCTATTAGAGGAATCTTAAAATGAAATTGATATATAAGCTATTAAAGTACACGAGGTTTTAATAGACCTTAATTTACTGGCTTCAAGAAAATTTACAGTACAAGGAATACCTGTGGTTTTGGGTAGGGTCAAATCGAAACTATTCTTCTCTCGTGCGATTTAGGTGAAATAAGACACCTTAACTTAAGATTGACAGACCGCGCAAAAGGCAAATCATATTCATTGAGCTCAACTGTCAGCTGTTCGACGTTTGGCCAATTTGTGCAGTAAAATTGATACGTGAATTAGCCACTTAGCTGTCGAAGACTTGTGGAAAATTTCCGTTTGTGGTTAACGTGGTGTAATATAATAGACAAGTCACAAGTGCATATTGACGAATTAAAGTGAATCAAACTGCATTATAGCCACGGTGCTACCCGTATCCCTTTGATTAGATTTAAATTAATCGTTACATGAGGTTTTAATAGAGCATAATTACTTGACGCATATTAAGGAGAACCCGTACAGAGCGTATAATTGAGCGAGGTCACAGGTCGGTTATTAGAAAAACAAGCCAAGGTCATTCTCTTATTTACTTACATATGTAGTTGACGATTTTCTAAACTTGTTACAAACTACGGGATTCGTTATATCACACTGCGCGTTTCTACAACGCGCAAAGAAAATCAATAATATTACATGGTTTGTTAATGGCTTTGTAATTTAGCTTGTTATTACAAGCTCTCGCTGCTTGCTCTTAGCTTGTCTGGCTCACTGTCTGCGCGGTGTTGAGGGGATGCAGGTCACAGCGATCAATAATTGCTTTTTTGTATTCAACCATGAGCTGATCCAGACCATAAAGACACCGTACGTTATACCTCATATGTGGAACATAATTAATATATCTCTGTGTGACATCTTTCCCCGTTTTTTTTTTGACAGGTTGACGATGTTGAGCTCAATGTTCAGTGCTAAACCATCCCATACAGGTCAAGTTTTGAAAAATTCTAGAAGTTTTAACGGTAAGAAACAACGCATCTCACACGACGTTTGTGTCTGAAATACACGGAAGACTACGTCATTGAAATGTGCACAAGTTAGCTCAGTAGCTGCAATAGACCAGGGCTCGAAGTAGAGAAAAAATATAGCCTACCTGTCTTTTTGATGATTTTTTGGCAGGTGAAACAAATTGTAGTCTGCCATTTTTATTCATTGAACTGCCAATTGGCGATGCCTCATATGAGTCGTATTGTAAAAATCAATGTTTTCATGATATGCATTTTTATTCATTTTATAAACTTGTCTATTTTACTACAGTAAACTTGGATTTACATTTGAAATATAAACGCATTTAGTCAACTAAATGATCTAGCATATATGAGTTGTGGTAAGCAAATGAAATGAAATATATCTATAGAATTTCACCTGCCATTTTTATTTTGACTTGGAAGTTCAAATTTGTTTTTGCCTGCGATTTCTAAAATATGGCCTGCTTTAGGCATTGGCAGCCCGTTATTTCGAGCCCTGCAATAGACTGTACTGTTTAGTGGTGAATATCATGATTGTGGACATCCCACACAAGGGTTTTCACGTAGTTGGAAATTTCGAATTTAAATTTTATACATTTGTTACATCTTACCAGGAGCAGTCGCGAAAAATGCAACTATAGGCCCTCTCCCAGGAAACCAACCTGCGGCCCGCTGCGATTCCCGTGCAGCGCTTTAACCAACTGAGCTACAGAGGCCAGTTGTCGTGCTCTAACCGCAAGTTCATGTATATAAACCAAGTAAGATCATGCCTACAGACCTACAGACCTATAGTTGCATTTTCCAACTGCTTTTGGTTAGCTCTATTAAATGTATAAGTTGTTGTTAATTTTTTTATTAGTTTTACAATAAGAAATTGAAGGCACGGACAACAGGACTAATAAAGTCCTAAATTAAGTCATCAAAACATGCATTAACTTTTTGGGTGTAGTGATTATAGAATTTAAGTTCCAGTGCTTGAATAGAGGAGAGAGAGAATTTTATTTCTCCAGGCAGGCTGTTCCATAGTGGCACTATCCTATTGAAAAATAGGTTTCGGAAAGAAGATTTGATTTGGAAGTAACGGTTTGGTCTGTATGCATCAGTAGAGCTAAAGCGAGTGTGATGATTAGTATAGGATTGTCTAGTATATAGTCTTCAAGTGTTAAGTCATAATAACCAGCTTTACATTTATAAAAAAACGTAATATCTTTTATTTCGAACCAGTATGAAATAAGCAGTAGATTAAGTTGCTTTAAACGCTTGGTGTAAGATGAGCTGAATGAATTGTTTATTGTTGTCTAATAAATGTATAAAATTTACACTGGAAATTTCATCTCCAGAGTCGATCCAGTCTGTTATGAGATCAGTTCGTGCTTGAAGCGGATAACGATCTAATGATTGACTGGATAGACCATTGGATAGAATGAAACTGATCTCATAACAAAATGGATAGACCCTTTTTTAAGACTCTTTACATGACCTATATGACACGTAACCTAACAATTAACTGTGCCATCCAGTTACGATTCAGAGACCAGAATGTTCCATTGTTTTTTCATTGTTTCGAAATCCTACTGTTCTCAATGTCATCCGGTCACTCATATTTAGGTTTATGCAATGAGCCTACTGAAATAAGTTTCTTCTTATTTTTTTTTTTTTTTTTTGGGGGGGGGGGTAGGTCAGACACAAGACATGACAGCTTATTGTAGAATAGTATCTATTCTCCATGGACCCCTAAGTTTGAGATTTTTTTTTCAGATAGTTCAGACACAAACCACA